CTGTAGTGTGTGTGTGTGTGTGTGTGTGTGTGTGTGTGTATGTGTGTACTTCGGGGTCTGCTGGCATCAGAGTGGCTTGGAGCAGGCCTGTGAACACACAGAAGGCTGCCCACCCCCAGTTCAGATGCGGCCCATCTAGGGTGAGGCCACAAATGCAACTCATGTGTTTGTGACAAGTGCCAGGTGATGTTGTAGTCCTGGCTAGAGATCCAGGAGCCCCTCCCCCGAGGGCTGGGAGGCAGACGTGAGCTCCTCAGGCCTCTGCTGACCTGCTCTGGAATCCTCTCCTGGCAGAGGACTTTGCCTCGTTTGGCTTCCATGCTGTCCCTTGGTTTGATGAAGAGTTTGGACAAGACTGTGCTTTCTGCAGAAACCAGTGTCAGACCTGGGGCTCCGTCTGCCCTAAGGAGTCCACACCTCGCTGTTTCATCTGTAAAACCTCAGGTACGCCCAGAATCACCACAGGGGAGCCAGGGACAATCCCGGCTCCCTGCTTTGGGGATGCAGCCAGCAGAAGGCGAGGGCAGATCCATTTCACATCCCAGCTCTATCGTGGGCCCTTCAGCCTGTGATTCATTTCCAAGGTTATCCGGGTGTGTTGGGTCCCTGAGAAGTCACCTCTGCCAAGCCCCTAGAGGGTGGTCATCTTAAGAGTCCTCTGAGTGCTCCTGGTCACACTCTGCCTCACTGGTCACTGGCTCCTGGTCACCTTGGGAGGAGGGCGCTTATCACAATCCCACCCCAAGGTCTTCCTCAGGATAATCTCTGTCCAGGGTTATTCATCTTGTGGGCTGAGCTCTTCCTCTCCCTCCCTTCTGTGTTCCTGGGTCAGGCCCGTGACCCTGGCCATGTGACTTCCTCCGGAGCCTGGCCCTGGACCCCTGCCTGCCTGCCAGCCCTCCAGTCCCTTGTTAGTGACCCATTTTGGGCCTGACACATCGGGCAGGGCTCTGCTGGGGAGGAGGAAACACATAGCTTGTTGTGCTGGGGAAAAAGTGCATCCCCACATCCGGCCCCCGCCCTGGGCCAGCCACACCTCAGCTTCCTGCCGACATCCTGGCATCTCTCGAGCTATTTATCACCCAGCTGCCCCCTGGCTCCCTGCCACTGATGCACACACACTCCCTGGGAGGCCTCTGCGGGTGGCTGCAGCAGAAGAGTGGGCCTATGTACCCCAACTTTATGGAGGCCGCTTTTCTCTGGAAGCATGGACAACTCTTTGCAGAAGGTAAAGAGGTATGAACACATCTGGTTCCATTGGACTTGCTGTGTGGCTTTGGCCAAATGAGTCCATGTCTTTGACTCTTAGTTTCCTTGATTTAAAATAAAGAGAAAAATTACTCCATTTCTAGTAGTTGTACCTGGGCCCTACCTCTAACCAATTTAATACAGTGCCATGGGCAGTGAGTGGGCTTCAGGGGCTGGATTTTATGTAGGTTTCCAGGAAAGCTCTAAGGTAGAGCGAGAGGATGGAATCACTGTGAATGGACAAAGCTCTGGACTAGATGAGTGTAGATTTGAAATCTGGTGGTATTGTATCTTTATGGAAGAGCTTTACTTGAAGAGCTTTTTTAGCCTCTGTTTCCTTGTTTGTAAGTACTGACTCTCCAGAGCCATTATGAGAGTTAAACAAAGTAGTGGACAGTAGGTATTCTGTGCCCAGTGAGTGCTTCCTAAGGAAGTGAGGAGGCCAGGCCTTTACGTATCTTCACGGAGGACACACGGCAGGTAGCCCTGGGCGTGGACCCTAGTTGGCACTTCCAACTCATATCTGTAAACGAGCAAGTGTAGCTGTTATTGCAGACCAAGATGTGATGAAGTATGAATATAGTGCTTCATTCTGGCTTCTGAGTGACTTTAAAAACTACATTTCCCAGCATTCTTTGCAGGTAGAGGTGGGCATGATTGTGTCCTGGCCAATGAAATGTAGATGGGAGCAACTGGACCTTTAGCTCTTTGGTTTCCCTTCTTCCTCTTCCGCTGGCAGCTATCTTGAGAAGGAGGGGAGAAGGGAAAACATCAGTGGCCTGGGGCAAGATGGTTTGGGGCAAGATGGCATGGTTAGCAGCCATAGCAGCCCAAGACTGCCCACCTGTGGGCTTTACATAAAAATCCAAATGAAAGGAAAATTTTTCAGTGTTTGAGAGCACATTTGTTCTAGCAGAAGAAAAAGAGATGCATTGGATTTCACTGTCCTACTTTCTGTTCTCAGTCTTCATGTTTTAGAAGAACCTAGGTCTGGTACTGGGTTGGAAGCACCACAGGAAACCTGTCCAGCTCCTAAGATGAGCCCTTGAGGCTGAGATAGCCCAGGACTGGAGGTGGGCCATGCCTTCAGATGAACCCAGGACTAGCATGCAATATCCAAGGGAAGGTAAACTACAAAACGTGGCAGAAAAACAATAGCATAGTAGCAGGATGTTGGGCATGAATGTGGAAGAAAGGGTGAGAAACTTAATTTTCTCATCCTTCATAACAGAGAAAAATACATGCTAAGATTGAGACACACATTTAAGAATGACCCCCAATCTTTGAGCACACCCCACAATCCTGGGGAGGTCTTAAACAAATACATATGTTGGTAATGAATCATATAAGCATATACGGAAGAGCTTTACTTGAAGAGTTTTTTTAGCCTCTGTTTCCTTGTTTGTAAGTACTGACTCTCCAGAGCAACTGCTTGTATTTCCTGAAATTTTCTTTTCTTAAATTCAAATGAAAATAAGCTCTATACATTATATTTTAAAAATCAGCATATTTTTAAAAGCATGATCTTTTAATAAAGTTCTTTTCCTTTCTTCCTGCTGTCCAGTCTCCCTTCTTTCATTCCTTCTGCCCACCCTCCTGCTGTCATCCTTCCCATTCTCCTTCCTTTCCCTCCTTCCCTTCCTTCCTGGAAAGATATCTGGAACGATGTTGCTTAATGCTAATTCTGCTATTCAAGGCAGAAGGTTTTGTAGTGATTCTCCTCCCCTCCCATTTTTACAGCATTTTCCTGCATAGTTTGAACTCCTCATAAAAACTTCTAGAGTTTGAATAAAACAATGCCATCATTTTTCAAAAAATGTCATAATATTTTTGTAGGGTAGGGGCATGGAGTGCATGACCAGGAAAGCACCTGGCCTGTGTGGCAATTCTGAGGTGGCTCCAAATTCCTTTCTGGCAGTGTCAGTACTGTCGCATCTACTGGAATGTCCTTCCTTTCTCTTTTTAGCAAACTTTTACTCATCCTTCATAACCTAGTTCCATGGGAAGAACTTCCTGTCACCTAGGCCCAGCTAATCAAAGCCTGTTTCTGGAGATTTAGAATCCGAGCAGTGACACGGACAGCAGAAAGGCCTGGAGTGCACTCACACACCAGCAGTGTCCTGGGAGGGCCGTGAACGGGGATTTTGGCACCAGAAGCAGAGCAGCTCTCCCTTTATTGAACTTGGCTGTCAGGTTTTCCTATTCCAGGACCTCTCCACGTCGTGTTTTCATTGCAAGTAGCCAAGTCAGTGTCTCCAGCTTGCAGACGAGGCACCCAGCTTCTGTTCTGCCTCCCTGGTGTTGAATAGCAGACTATCAGAGGTGTGTGGAATGAGCCATAGTTACACAGAAGTTATTATAAGACACCATTCTCCCCTGACCCAGCCTTCCCAGGACATTCCCAGGCATGGTCAGACACCCGAGCAGCCACATTCTGAGAAGCACAGAGTTCTAGCTTGCTAAGCAGCTGTGCCCACTCCATGAAGGGGAAATGGCTGCAGAAGCAACATGCTCAGGGCCACACAGCTATGTCAAAGGCAGAAGGCCAGGTCCTGTGCAAACCCCTGTGTGCTCCTCTGTATGTAGGGCAGGGTCCTTGCTGTCTCCCCAGCCTAGTCTCCTTGATGCCTGCACTCTGCCTGGCATACAGGCAGTGCCCAAACATGCCCACCAGCAAGCTACCAAGTACCACCTGCAGCTGCACCATGCAGAAGGAGAGCTTGTGATCTGGGGTGGGGGGAGGGTGCTGTAAGGTCATTCGCTAGGGACAGGGACCGGAGGCGGTGATGTGCAGGCTGCAGATATTTTCAGTCCGCTCACGACTGCAACGACAGGAAACAAACACAGCAGGACGCCTTGGTGCCACGCTTCAGACTCACCTCCCCAAGGGTGGCTGGGTGGGTGACAGGGTGACAGGTGCTCTGGGAGCAACTGAAGAGAGTGAGGCAGAGTGGACCCGTGCCCCATGCTGCCCAGTGTGGATCAAATTGGGCTGTGACAGCCCAAGAAAGGACCAGAGTTCCAGGGGTGAAGAGAAAAGGCCAGCAGGTCACATTGGCCAAGAGGACAAGCTAGTGCATGGGGCACGCTGGGCCAGCTGGTGGAGCCAAGGAGTCCTGGGGAGCCCAGCACTGCCACAGGGAGCTGAGAGGATGAATGGAGTCCATCAGGGGAAACCGAGGGGTCCAGTCCAACGAAGCCAAAAGAATGTGCAGTGAGTCAGGCTGAGCCCAAAGGGAACGGGACCTAGGGAACAGGTGACACCGATCTGAGGCAGTGCCCTGGTGCGGAAGAAGCCTAGCGAGGCCTAGGGGGACCTGATGATGAATGCACAGTCAGGTAGAGCCCAGGCTGTGTAGTGGAACCCAGGGAATGCCTCCTGGTCGCGCTGAACCTAAGGGCCCCAGCAGAGCAGAAGGAGAGGGTGGGACTGACCTGAGGAAGATGAGTGCGTTCCAAAGAAGCCTGGTGGAGCGAGAGGAGCCCAGTGAGTGTGCGGGGTGGGGGGTATACCCAGCGGGCCCAGTGGAGCTTAATGAACGAGCCCACTGGGTCAGACTGAGCGGAGCATGGCTGAATGATGCCTGAGAAACAGGTTGCCTTCACCCGAGGAAACAGAGGGGTGAGCAGGGGAACCGAGCGTCGCATGGAACCGAACAGGGCCGAGAGGAGCCGATTGAACACGCAGCGTGGGACGGGTGGAGCCGAGTGGGGCCGAGTGGGGCCGAGTGGAGCCGAACAGGCTGAGTGGACACGAATGAACGCGCCGCGCGGGACGGGTAGAGCCGAGCAGGGCCGAGTGGAGCTGACGAAACAGGTGGTGCTGAGGTGAATAATGGAGTGGGTTCGGGAGAAGCCGAGGAGGCCTGAGGGAACCGAAGTTTGGGTGGAGCCCAGAAGGGCCTATTGGTGCGGGATGCATGAGCGGAGTGGGTCGGGCGGAGTTAAGCCGGCTGACTGGAGCGGAGAAACTGGGCAACCGAGAGGTTTCAGAAGCCTAGTGGGTCCGCGGGGAGCTGAATGAATTTTAGGGATGGTTGGGCAGAGCCAGGGCAGCGGGAAGGGGTGGGTGGTGTTGACTGGAGGAAGCACAAAGGCTTCGCAGCCAGAGCCAAGCAAGACCCAGTGGAGCCAAGGAGCGTGCAGGGAGCGGAAGTGAGGGGGCGGGGCCTGCCCGAGCCCCGGTGTGGCTTGGGATTGGCGTGACAGTTGGGGAGCCCAGTCCTGCTTCTAACCAACGGGAAAGAGGAGCCCTTTCGCTTCACTGGCCCGAGGTGTAACCTCAGAGGAGGCTCTTTCTGTTGGCAGCCTCAGTTCCCCCACTTAGAACCTAGGGCCCTGGAGGGGGCAGAAGGCGCTGGTTACGAAGCCTTTCTGAGCGCTGCCCTCCTGCCCTCTGTGTGTGGGGTGGGGGATGTTGTCTCATCTTCCATAGGGATGATCAGGTCACTGGCCTGGGAAGGTCCTGGGCAAGGTCAGTTCAGAAATGTCATTTTTCGGGAGTGTTCACTGTCCCCGGGTTGTTCGCAGACTCAAGAGCCACCTTATCTACATCCATGGCCAGGGACTCCCTACAACTGGGCACAGGATGCATTGTAAATGGGACGATATCCTTTGCCGTTTCAGGGTGACCTCAGGAGCTTACTGTTGTCACCTGTAAATGAGGGAAAGGACACAGGTGACGCCCAGCTCTTCATTTTCTAACGTGGATGGGGCAGGTGGGGATCTGTATTTTGACAGTATTATGGAATCTTATATGTACAAGAATACTTTTATTTTTATATTAAAAACTATGATCTAGAAGGTACTGTTGTAGGCAACTGGGGCAATAGAACCAGGAGTCCCTGCCTGGGTTCCAGTAGGAGGCTGCTGTCCCCTTTGTCTGGCCCCAGAATTCAGGCAGGAAACACGGGCAGGTGGCACTGACTCCTGAGGCACCCGATCTCTTGTCATCCTTCATGGCGCCGTTTCCACTGCTACATTATTCTAAAACACACCTCTGGATTATGCCACTTTGCTGTCCCAAACCCTGTCCTGCCTATGAGATAAAGTCCTTCTGTGGGAGCTGGCCCTGATGGACTGCTGCAGTTTCATCTCCCCTCTCCTCCCCCAAATTTTCAGGAATACCTGGCTGCTCATCTCTTCCATAGTCACCTCTATTCTGTGTAGATTTTTCTTTCTTTAGAAACACTTAACTTCATATGAGCCACTAGATGGCCCCAGAAGTGAATTTAAGGCCTTGCCTAATGGCAGCGGAGTATTGGCCTATTTGTTTACTGGCTTGCTTTGTGAAACTTTTACAAAGCCCCTTAGCACTTGTTTTGTAAACAGCCTCTATTTTTAGCTGAAAAATCAATGAATTTTGTGTATCAGTTAATTTTTCAGCTGTGAAAGCAAGGAGTATTATGACAATTCCTGGTGTGTTTCAGTACCCTCATCTACTCAAAGAGCAAGTCACACAGTTTCATTCAGAAGCCAGGTAAGTGTCTGAATTTACTCACGGCTTCTTCCTATAACTGTCCTTGCTGGGCACTTGACCAAGGTTGGAGGCATTTTCTTTTCTTTGCTAGGCTCTGATTTTTAAGAGCCAAGAAATAGAATTCAATCAGAACTTTTTTCCTCCAAAAAACTTCTGTTGGTTTTCTACCCAAGAAAGTATTGGATAAAAATTAGATGCTTTGCTCTTGCTTCTCAGCAAAATTAATTTTTTCCTTAAATGTGAGATTGTGTGTTCTGCAGGAGGACGGAGGCAGTGAGGAAGACGTGGCCAGGCCTGGTCTGAGCTCTCCCCTCAGGAGACCAATGCTTAGCCCAAAGACTCGTGTGTGCAGAGGTGGGGCTTTGGAGGTGATGAGATCATAGGGCACTAATCTACATGGATTAATCCATGGATCACTGCTGTATTATTAGGAGGCAGAGCCTAATTCAAGGGAATGGCTCATAGAGTTGTGACCTTGGGGACTGTATCGTATCCCTAGGACCTCCTTCTCTGCACCTTCTTCTCTTTCTCCCATCTCTGATTCCTGGCCAGCATGAGTTGAGCAGCTTTCCTCTGCCACACCCTTCCGCCATGATGTTTCTGCCTCACTATGAGCCTAAAGTGATGGAACCAGCTGACCATGGACTGAAACCATGAGCCCATTTTATCTTTCCTCCTCTGAGTTGTCTTTCCCAAGCCATTGCTTGCAGCAAGGAAAAGCTGACAACACAGGACTCCCCTGTGTGATGTCTCGGGTACCCTCTACGCTATGGAGCCTGTGATTTTATGGGGAAAGGACAGGACTGTGACTGAAAACATAGAACTTGCTGAGGATCTTGGGAAAAGAACTGGAGTCCCTTTCCTCCTTGTTTGTTCCCTCCTAAATGCCCCAGAGCATTGTGTCATGCAGGGTGGTGTCAGACATCTTGTGTGAATGGGGAATTTGAGAGGCAAACAAGGCCAGCAGGTCAGGGGATGGTGGCCAGGAACAGACAGTTCATGCGTGACTCAGTGCCAAGAGGAGGTGGGACAGTAGCCATACAAGGCCACGTGGAGCTCTAGGTCAGCAGGAGGCAGAGTGGAAGGGACTTTGATAAGCGCTTCCATGGTACTTCCTGCAGGAAGGAGTGGAGCAGGGGCAGCAGACTGTGGATGGCCAGCATGAGTGGTTACCATGGGTGTCTGGGAAGGGCTGTCCTTAGGTGTCTGGTCCTGTCCCTGTGGTGATCAGGGCAAGGGACAGTGGCATCAGAGTGACAGCCCAATGCAGAAGGGGCTTGGGTGTGACACTGGATAGATCCCTCTGCTACGGAAGCCAGAGGCCAATCCTGTACCCCTGTGCTCTGATGTGTGTGTGCCCCATGATTCCACCATCGGGGACCCCGTTCTTTCCTCTCTGCCCTTGTGGGCTGCACCCCCCTTGAAGCCTCGCAGTGATCTGGAAACTTAATGACCTCTGTGTGTCTGACCTGCACAGTCCCTGGGCTGCTATGCCTAATGCATAGTAGCCCTCAGGAAGAAGGAGCCTGCTCACAGAGCCTGCTGTCTCCTGCACCTCTGCTGGCCACAGAAGCCTCCCAGCCCACTACCCCAGAGCTGTCCTAGAGCAGCCAGGCAAGCAGAGCCCCCAGCATGTCCTGACCCATGCTGGAACCTGTCTCCGGACGGTGATGTGTTGGGTCACAGCCTGCAGGAGGTCAGACTGAGCTATCCCTATCTCTCTCCTACACACTGCACTTGCAGCAGGGAACGGGGTGCCCACTCACCTGTTTTAGCTCTCAGGTCCCCAGGACAGATGTACACAGTGCTGCCCATTCTTGGCGGAGAGGGGAAGAAGGCAGGGCACTGTCTGCCACCTGACTTTGGGGGATCACAGCTCCCACCTGTCACCTCCAACAATAGGGTCATCCTTCCGCAGCCCAAGGCCAAGTGCAGGGGATTGGGAACATGACCCCCCCCCAGTGCTCTTGTCCTACAACAGGGTCTGCACATGGGGACAGGGGCCTTCCCCTACACAGCCAGCAGTATTCACTCTGGGACTTTCATAGAAAGATGGAATGGCAGCCTGATGCTGGCTTTGAACCCCTGATTACTGGAAGCCCTAGGACTCTCCACGTCCACACCCGGGTGCCCTTCATGCAGCTGAGGCTCCAGGCACCACCACCACCCTGAGGTGGGTGGGTGACACCCACAGGCACCTGTGGTCACCTCGCAGAGGTAACCCTTGGCTGCAGCTGTCCTGCCACCAGATATTACTGCCGTGAGGCCTCTTGGGTTGGCTGCACCTGGCTGCTCACTGTGGGATGATCCCCTCCTAGTTTGGCTGTGCTCTGTCCTGGGCTCCTGGTCATCAGAGAAGCATCGACATAGCCCTTTCCCAGGCTGAGAGGGAGCAGAGCGAGGTTGATTCCCAGGAAGTGAGTGAGTGTGGATTTAATATACAAATCGGCCCTGGATGAGCACATTTGCTCTCACTCTGGCCACACCTGACCCTAGGCACCCTCACTTGTGGGATGCAGTTGTCAGGATGCACGTGACCCCCAAAGTCACCAAGGGCACTTGGAGCCTTCACTCTGCCCTGCCTTGCTGAGAGGCTGCTATGCTGCACTGAGCTTGCAGAGTGAGAAGAGGGATTGTGGGGTTTGGCAGGGACCCCAGCCTTGTCCTCCTGTGGGCCCAGGAGGCCGCACAGGGTCCTGGGGACAGCAGAGGACACCAAGGGCTCCTTTAGATCCTCAGCAATCTCTTGTTATTTCTGGACACCATAAGGGTGGATTGGGGAAGACAGAGGCCCTGGGTTCAAATGTTACTCCCATCCAGCCTCTCCCTCTCCCTGATCCAGCCTTAGTTTCTCCTCCATAACTGGGAGTGCAATCACCCTAGAGATCCTCCCTCAGGTGGGGCATCTTGTGGTAAACAGAGTGATGGGCATTTTGGGGGCCCAGGCTTGTGAGGCCTGAAGACTGGGCCAGGCCAGGTAAGGCCTCAGCATTACAGAAGTAACATGGGGCCATCATAGGGCCAGCAAGCATGTGCATTCTCAGGTTGAGATGGGAGCAGCCAGAAGCAAATCACCAGGAAGGGCAGGGCACTCCCTTGTCATTGTGGTTGACGATGGACACAGAGGTCTCCAGAGGGTCTGGGGACACTGCTGCCTGGCCCAGAAGGGCTCCACTCAGCCTCTAAAGTACAGGAACCTGCACAGTCTGCCATACCTCCCTTCTGTGTCTCAGGTTGTGGCTCAGCATTCCTCACTATCTCCCCAGTGCCCCTGCCTCACCCTAGGACAGGAGTCCTGCCCTCCAGTGATCGCCTGTGCTCTGGTCCCAATAATGAGCCACCTGTGATCCCAGCACCAGGGCTGTCCCAACTTGACACCTTCCCCATGCTGCTCCCTCTGCTCTTCTGTCCCTGTGGTTCTGTCAAGAAGAGAGATCCTGATGTGTAGGTGGGATGTGGGGGATCTGTGATGCTTTCCATCTAAAATGGCCCCCAGAGAGGAAGGAAGGGGAAACAAAAAAAATGATGAGAAAAGAAGGAAAAAAATGGAAAGAAAACTTTGGAAATAAGGATGGGAAGAGGGGTTGAAAGGAGGGGAGTGGGGAGAAAAAAAGTATCAAGTTATATCACGTAGAGGTACAAATTCCCTATAATGAATGTGATCATTATGTATACCTAAAACGTACCAATACATTTGATTAATAAAGAAGAAAAAAATAAATGATCCCCAAAGTCTTTTGGAAGGTAATGGGGTTATAGCTGCTGGAGCTGAGCTCCTATCAGGAGCCTGAGTCTGGTCAGAAGAGGTGCCTCACTGGGAGCACTCTCTGGAAGAATGTATCTCCCTCTGCCGCTCCTTTCTTCACTCTCAGTTTCGTGCCCACTATGATAGCAGCTTTGCCCTGTCCTGGCCCTTCTGCTATGCTGTTCCTGTATGTCAGCCTGCTGTGGACCGGAACAGGAGCTAGAGTAAATCTTTCTTCCTTTAAATTGTGAGTGTTAGGGGGCTGGGGATTTAGCTCAGCGGCAAAAGCGCCTGCCTGGCAAGCACAAGGTCGTGAGTTCAGTTCCCGGTACCGGAGAAAAACCAAAAAAAAAAA